GCTCCATCAGCGGGTGATTAAAAGCTGTTCTGTCTCCGAACCCTTCGTGGCAGGAAGAGATGGCTGCAGCGTACGTTTAATCGTGCTGAATGCCAACTTCCTGTCCATCAGCTGTTGTAGAAAAGACAACATGCCGCCTAATGGGCATGAGGTGGCCTCTACACCTTTCTCTGTACACCAGCGCTGAAAAACCGTCCACTTTGATGTGTACAGAACTGTGGTAAATGCAGCACGTGAATCCTGGATTGTGCGCACTACCTCCTGCGGGAGACCCATCCTCTCTAAGCAGGACCGCTCAGCGGCCAGACCCACAGTTGCTGGCCTATTTCTGGGTAACTCCTGATCGCTCCTCCTGCTTGAAGGAGAGCATCCTCCCTCCACGGCAGTTTCCACGGACGACCCGACAACCGACGTTGCAGGACTGGGAACCATGGTGCGTTCACGCGCTCGGGAGCCACCAGGAGAGCTGTCAATCCCTCCTCCTAAACTCGGTTCAGGAACCGTAAAATCAGAGGAAGTGGGGGAAAAGCGTACAGAAGCGTTTTGGGCCATGGGCTGTGAACAAATGCATCCACCCCCAGCGGTGGATCGTCTCGCGGGCTCAGGGAAAACCATAGTTGACACTGAGCGTTCTCTCGTGTCGCAAACAGGTCCACAGCTGCTTTGCCAAACTTCTGCCACGTCTGAACCATCAGGTCTGGATGGAGAGTCCAGTCCCCGTGACGTGGGCCGCCCCTGGACATCACATCTGCCCCTCTGTTCAGAACACCAGGTATGTAAACTGCTCTGATGGAGAGCAGGTTTTGGTGAGCCCAACACAGTAGCTTTCGCGCAATGTGTAACATCTGGGCTGAACGCACACCCCCCTGACGGTTTATGTTCGCAGCAGTCACCATGTTGTCTGTGTGAATCAACACGTGTTGATTCTGTAGCACGGGAGCAAAGTGTTGAATCACATTCAGCACTGTGCGACACTCCAAAAACATTTATGTGGGCTGATGTGTGGTGGGGCCACAGCGCCCCTACTGCTTGAGATAGGTATGTCCCCCCCCCCAGCCTGACAGCGACGCGTCCGTGAAGACTGACACGTGTGACGCGGGTCTGCTGACGGGAACTCCCTCTGACAGAACCAGGGTGTTTCCCCAGTGTCGGAGGTCTGCTCTCACGGAGGGCGGGGCAGTGATCATCCGTCTCTTGTTTTACTGGATCCACACGCAGACGCGCAAACCACCTGTGGAGGCGTCTCATGTGTAACAAACCCAGCGGAACCCCTGTGTGAGCTGATGACATCATTCCTAACAGCTTCAAGACGGAAACAGCTGTTACCACTTTGCCAGGTCTTACGTGGCGGAGTTGACTTTTAAAAGTGTCGACCCTCGTTTGTGATAAACAAGCCTTCATGATGGTTGAATTTAATTCCACTCCCAGATAAACAAATGTCTGGGCCGGGAAAAATTGAGCTTTTCTTCCAATTTATGGCGAAGCCCAGATTTAACAGGTGTGATGACAACACCTGAGTCTGCATCAGCGCCTCCTGTCTAGAGTGCGACATGAGCAGCAGATTATCCAGGTAAAACAAAACTCTCATCCCTGCTCTGTGTAACAGATACTTCATCCCCTGAAAGGAGAAAAAAACGCAGGAATTTTCTGTGTTGGGATGATCGGTATGCGTTTCTCTGGATGTTGTACAACAGCTGTCTGGTTGTCAACATGTGAAAAACGGTCTGTCAATGATCACCTTGTTGAAAAAACTGACAGATCCACGATCAGTCTCATTCCTCCGGTCCGTTGGGAACCAGGAAGTAACGTGAGTAAAACCCTGTGTTTTCTCTCTGTTGGGGAACTCTGGAGATTACTTTTATCAGAAACACTTGGACTTCTGCATTTAGGAATGAAATTTGGACTGATGATGACAGGACCGTTTCTATAACTCGTCCGAACGGAGGGGGTCGGGTTGCAAACTGTAACTTGTAACCATTTGCATAACGCCCTGTCCATCCATCTGACCGGCGAGCATGTTTTAGCCACTCTACGTAACGTTCGTGGAGTGAACGTGCGTTAAGTGATGCGTCACGTTTGTACGGCTGTCAGCAGTCCGCCCCTCAAACCGCCGTCATGCATCGCGGGAATGTTTTCTGCGTGACCCAAGGCGAGGCTTCCTCGAAAAAAAGGCTCTGAACGCGCCCGTGCGCTGCGTTCGGACCGCAGACCAACCTTCATGTACAGGTGGGCCGGTGTGTGCTGAGGCAAAGCGTGTGACAGCTGATGACGCCGTGGGGCTGCGCGTTTGACGTCGCTGTGCGAACGTTGGGAGGCGGAGGGCGTGACTTCATCTACGCCGTGCTGTTGGAGTGAAGGCTGCGAGCCCCGCGGGAGCACACGTTTTCTCTGGAGGGACGCGCGCCGCTCTCGCTGGAGGGCGCGCGCTGGAGGGAGGCGGGACTCGTCACCGGGTTCGTTCAGCTGCCTCACGCTTTATGCTGCCGAATGCTGAGACGCGGTGGGTGACGGCTGCCCACGTTTAATTCGGTGAGGCGAGTGTCGCTCTTGTGAGAGCGAGGACCTCCACCTGACCCAGCCTGCGGTCCACATTTATACCGATGTGAGCCGGTGAGCACCGGGCAGCTGTATGTGTGTGCGCCACATCAACGCAGCGCCGTTGGATGGAGGCTGTTTCATCCCACGAGTGCGAGTTTGACACCGCTTGGGTGAGGATCGTGCCGCTCTGGATGATAAAGAGATATTTTCGCTTATCATTGTGTCGTGTGATCGACTCGTCATGTCTTGGAGCGACGGTGAGTTTAAAAAACCTTTATTTAAGGACACCGGCTCGTTATGTGTGAAGGATGTGTGCGCAGCCGCTGTGAGTTCATCCGAGCTTACAGACTGGCTAAAAACAGACACTTTGATCATTGAATGATGATTTATTTCAACTTTCGTGTCACTTTTACGCACACCCTCCGGAGACCGTCATTTTTAAAGCTTCTCCCTCTTGAGCTCTGCGATTTGTTTGCCCAGAGCGCTGTCTTGCAGGCGAACTCTGGAGAAACGCTGAACTGCAGGTTGCCAGAATGAAGAGGGCTGGATTCTGACGGGCGGGCTGGTGGTGGAACTGAGCGAGAGCCGCGACCGTGGAAACGTCGATGCTTTGCTAACAACGGTCCCTCCAGTGGGCCGGGGGGCGGGATGAGCCGCGCGGCTTGATGAGGTGGCGCACAGCCTCTGGCACCTCCTCCGACTGCTTCAATTCGCCAGCATGGTTTTGAAGCTGCTCTCGAACAGCGCGTCCGCCGTGATGGGCCCTCCATCAGGTCTTTGTGCAGTTTTTCCGGCAGCGAGGGAGAGTAATGAAACCAGGTGGATCGTTGGATCATCGTCATCCACGCTGCAATCCTCGACAGGCAACCTGTAGAAGAGGCACACATGTTGAAGATAACGTCTGCTGCCTTACAGAGGGAGTTCTTTGTCTCAAAGGCAAGTCTGCGGCCTTCAGCCCCTTTGGACATGCTATATGCTAGCAGCGCCACGTTGTTGCTAGCTGCGGCTGCCTGAAAGCACATTGATGGGCTCGATTGGAGAGCGTGGTCACCGTCTGGTTCGTGTTTCTCCGGAGGGACGGGACGCTGCTCCGACCTGGACAGCTTCGCTCCGAAGCTTCCGCGAGGCTTGGCTCCAGGGGGGGTTACCGAGGGATGGCTCCGCTCGGTGAACCCCTCCACTCTGGTGATGGGTGCGGACTGGGGACCGACTCTCCCAATCTACCAGGAAAGAACCCGTCTGTGGCCTCTCTTGTTGGACGTCCTGTTGGGAGCACGAGGCCATATGGGTCAAGACGGTGAGCTGGAGTGGAGCCCAGTAAACAACCTTCCTGCCGGATCATCCGAACTGGCGGGAAAGGCGTAGGACGTAAAAAAGGGTCCTTTCATGTCAGCCTCCTCCTGGGTTATGCCGGACAACCCCTGGGGCGCCGTCGGCCGGGAGCGGTGTGATCGCCGATGCGAAAACGAGGTGGGATGGGGTGAGCATTCACTCAGCCCCCCTCCACCGACACTACGCTCCCCAGGAAAGAAAGAGCAGCGGGGGCTGCAGCTGAGCACGCCTATCCCGGAGGAACCATCCGATTCGCTCCGAGGGTCGGCGATAAGAGGAAAAAATACAAGATGGCGTTGTCCAGCGTGTAGTGACCTGTCACTGGGAAATATTCCTCGGCGCTTACCTTGGAATAGGACTGCTCGTCATCTTCTCCTCGGGGAGGAGAACTCACCGGACGACCGGAGGTCGACTGCCGGGCCAAGCATCCTTAACAAAGGTTGGTCATCTACACAATTTTCCTTCTTTGTTCTTCTGACAGTGCTATATTAGCTCGCTGAAGAAAAAATGGGAGCCGATTTCCCGCTCTTAACGTAATTTATACGGACCGGGTGGGGCCCACACAGCAGGTGGGCGTGGACTAAATTTTTTCAGTGCTTATGCTGCGCATAACGGGATAAACCCATCAGCGACAGCCTTAAAGGGTGAAGCTTATACGACATAGAACCAAGATGTTTAAAAACATGTTAAAATACACCAAAATGCAGGAAATGGCATCTCTTTTATTCCAAATTTTCTGGGGGAGGACCCACAAACGCCGGACGGATTTTTCTTGTTGAAATGTTTCATTTTTTATCCAAAAGACTTCTTCAGTCTGAGGAGCTGCAACAAACTCAGTCTTATAAATATCACCTTCTCGTGGTGGATCAACCAGTTTGTTGTTGACATCCAGAACTAGCTGTTAAATGTTCCCTTCACTCTCCAGGATCTGTCGCTCTGTATCAGATAAATAAAAACCTCTGTGTGCTCTTCTCCACAGTGTAACTCCCCACTTGAATAACTTGCACCAAAAACATTTAGGTTCACCTGCATCTCAAACATCTCGAACATTCAGTGTTCGTGTGTCAGTGACGGGAGCTTTGTGCTGCTTGTTGTCATGTCTTGAACAAAGAGCTGTTTTCTCTCCTCAGGGACAACAACATCGAGGAGTGTGGTCTGGAGATGTACTTCTCCGTAGACATGGAGATCTTGGGGAAGATCACGTCTCACGACCTGAAACCAGACGGCACCAACATCCTGGTGACCGAAGAGAACAAAGAAGAATACATCAGGTACAAGCTCTTCTGACCTCTGACAACAGGACTTCTGAGTTTTTAGAAGGTGAATTGTGATTTGTGGCGTGGCCTGCAGTCTGATGGCAGAGTGGAGGTTCTCTCGTGGGGTCGAAGGTCAAACCAAAGCGTTCCTGGATGGGTTCAACGAGGTCGTTCCTCTTCAGTGGCTCCAGTACTTCGATGAAAAAGAGCTGGAGGTGAGCTGTGGAGGTGTTTGTGTTAGTTCCTGCAGAGCAGGATGAGTGACGGATGTTTGGTTGGTGCAGGTGATGCTGTGCGGCATGCAGGAAGTCGACCTCCAGGACTGGCAGAGGAACACCGTGTACCGTCACTACACCAGGAACAGCAAACAGATCATCTGGTTCTGGCAGGTATTGTCTCCTGTGCACACGGAGAGCCTCGTGTCCTCTGGAGCTTTGCTTCATGTGCTCGTCTGTCCGTCCCCTGCAGCTGGTGAAGGAGGTGGACAACGAAGTGCGGCTGAGACTCATGCAGTTCGTCACTGGAACCTGCAGGCTTCCTTTAGGTGGTTTTGCTGAGCTTATGGGTCAGTACCATGAACGTGTGTGATCCTAACGAGTCGCCCCAGATGTCTTTCAGCGTCCTCACTTGGTCTTCTGTTTGGGTTTCAGGAAGTAACGGGCCTCAGAAGTTCTGCATAGAGAAAGTGGGGAAGGACACGTGGCTTCCTCGGAGCCACACGTGGTCAGCACTACGTCTCACTCACATAAATTCAAATGTATCTGCCTGAAGGAGCCCAGACAGGGCTGGGCTTTGACCCCAGATCTTATCGACGCTCCTGTCGCCTCAGCGCTCGTCCACCGTCGCAACAACCAGTAGCATCGCAGCACTCTTACCACACGCTCACATCAAACAATCTATGGCCTTTGTTATGTCACAGTGTTGTTGATGAAAGTGGAATATTTAAATCCTAAATGGTAAATGGACAGTACTTGTACACTGGACAGTACTTATACATCTCCTTTCTATCTAATCCAGATACTCAAAGCTCTTTACAACACACTCTGTCCTCAGTTACCTCCAACACACACATTCATACAGCGACGGGACACATCAGAGTAATGAGGGTTCAGTGTCTTGCCCAGAGACACTTCAACATGTGACTGCTGGTGGAATTGAACCCTCAACTGTCCCGTTGGAGGACGACTGCTCTAACCACTCAGCCACAGCCGCCACATCATCCTAATAGTTTTCTCATGCTCTGTACTGGAGTGTAGAACCAGTTGGTCAGAACTAGTCTGACCTTTTCTGATCCTGCTCTTTTGTCCTTTCAGCTTCAACCGTCTGGACTTGCCTCCCTATAAGAGCTACGAGCAGCTGAAAGAGAAGCTGCTCTTCGCCATCGAGGAAACCGAAGGATTCGGCCAAGAGTAGGCGGAGCATGTCGTCGGGCGTTCTCCCCAAACTGTCGCTGTTCGCTCAGCCGAGAAAAACAAACTGAAACAAGAATTGCACAAGATAACCACCGATGTATATAATAAGCTATTCTGTCATTTCAAACCAAATCTGAACAGTTTTGCCTCCATCGAGGCCCCAGTGTGTTAGAAATTGGGCCACAGTGAAAATATGCAAACATTCATGGAGTCATGGATGTTATTAAACGTCCTCCTCACAGCTGAGTGGCGTTCAAAGACGAACTGAACCTTGGATCACTTCGTTCCCAGCTCTAGTTCTATAGAGCTCTTAAAAGGCAAAACGCAGTTTTTGGTGCCTGTTCTGTTGGACCCTGTTGGTTTTTGTAACTCTTGCATGCTGCCTATGATTAGACGAGCGCCGCTGGCCCCCGCGCAGACGCTTCGGCACGGACCGCTGCATCTTCGAGTGAGCTTGTCTCCATATTTATCAGGAGGGCTCTGAGGAGCAGAATGCTGCTCCCAGTTTGCATCCGATGGTTTCCTTCAGGGCTAATGAAGCTTTGTGACACGTTTCCACTGCATCGACAGCTGGGATGACTTGATGTTTGAATCAGGGAGGGGGGGGACAGATAATTGTTTTTTCAAACCAGAGATCCAGGACATGTTCACAGCTACCTGCACACTGTGACGTGCGCGAGACGAAAAGACTTCTAGTGTAAATTACTCCTGATTAATTCTGCAGTTTTTGCCAAAAAGCAAAAGGTTCTGCCCCACTTCTGAAGTGGACCGTGGGTTCTGCTGTCTAATGAGACCACTGTGATCGACACGGCGCTAGTTCTTACCTCACGTACGTTGTTTCAGTCCATACGTAGAGGTGGCTTTTAATGCACACGAAAGACTTTCTGTGAATATCAAACGATTGAAGCCATTATTTCATGTCCAAACCACGAAGCAGCCTCATCACAAACGTCAACATCCAAGACGATCGAACCCGTGGTCAAAGTGCAGGAAACATTTTCTCCGCTCCACGTTTCGTCTTCAAGCAGTTGGGTCCAGGCTCTGTCGGGACGATCTGGAGATGAACCGTGGCAGGAGGAGCCGGCGTCTGCAGAACTTTGTGCTTCCTCCAGAACAGAACCAGCGTTGGTGGATTTTACGGAGCAGCTGCTTCACGCTCAGCGCCGACCGCTCCGCTCACAGAAATCTTTGTTGCCTTCGTTCTCCTCAGCTGGACGTTCTGCTCAGACTGAGTTTTGTTCATGTGGATGTAAACCCAGCTGTAACATATCACCTGTAGATACTCTGTAAACACCACGCTGTACAGAAGAGTCATTTTTAATCTCACCCATTTTAAATGGACAGATGGATTTATGAGATACCAATAAAAAGTGAATTAAACTCCTCGGGTTGTTTTTGTGTGTGAACAGAAACTTTCACTGCAGCAAACAATTTGAAATTTACAAAAGATGTGATTAAACATTAACTCAAGTTAAACTATTAATGTTAGAATAAATTATAAAAGCAACGTCATTTTTAACAGGAGGTTCAAAATGTCAACGTTTAGATTAGGAAAGAGCTCAAATTAATTCCAGTTTAAAGAAACTGAAAAAGTCAAATTGTTTCTTTGAACCACAGGTTAGATGATGTGAAGCTTCTGATCTTCTGACAAATCAAAGAAACGAGAGAGACTTCATGTTCTGCAAAAATACAGTGAATGTTTATTGTAGAACTTGTTGAAACAGCTGAAATTAGCTAAAAACATGCTAAAATGTAGCTGAAATGGAAGAACAAGCCTAAGTTGGCAGAAGAAAACAGAACACACATTTGCTGAATTAGGTTTAAATTAAACAGAAATGAACAATAAATTAGAAAATTAGTTGAAAAGGCAAAAAGAAGCTTAAAGTATCAGAAGGAAGCAGCAAGCTGAAATAAGCCCCAAAAATGCAATTAGCTGAAAAAAAATTAAATAGTAGCTAGCTGACTGTAGAAAAAGATGAAACTAGCAGAAATAATCTTAAGATTAGAAAAAAGTTAATTAGGTTGAAAGAAATTATCACGAAAAACTACAATTTATCTGAAAACTGATGAAATTAATTAAAAAAGTAGAATGCGACCAGCCCTGTTTAGTCCACTTTAATCGAACTCTAGCTCGTTTTCCTAGAAAGTCCGGTTCGTTTGGGGAGGTGTGAACGCGCCATCGAACTCTGTCACGGAACAAAAGGGCGAACTCTGGCCCGGGCTAAAACCTAGGTCTCAGTCCGGTAGAAGAGAACTCCAGCGCGGTTCGAGTGCAGTGTGAATGTAAACAGACCGGGTCCGCTCCGCAGGACAAACACCATTTCTCTGACCTTATATGGAGCCGTCAGCTGCCTTGTGTGAAAAACAATATTCTCCATGGTCTTCTGCCTCATCTTCTGCTCATGCTAAGTCCATTTTTGAAAAATGACAAAATATAACTCCTAAAACTGCTAAAACTTGATGTCACTTCGTTTTTATTTATAGAAGAAGAAGAAGACGTGTCTTCAGAGGTTTTTGTGTCGTTTCTTTCAGTAGTTCTTGGTGCAGCGCCCCCACAGGCGAGCGGGGGAACAGGTTGGTTCAACAGGTTGACTCGACTGCACAGTGCAGTGTGAATGCAAACGCACCAGCTCAAATGTAACAAAAGGTCATGAATATTGGTCCCGAACCGAGTCTACCGGACTATCTAGTGTGAAAACGACCTAAATTAGCAGAAGAAAGCACACGTTCGCCCAAACACGTTGAAAGAAACAGAAATTAGCACAAAAAAATCTGTTAAAATCAGCTTAAGAAGCTGAAATTACCCAACGTAAGTGGAGAGAGCACGTTTTTGCTGAATTAGGCTGAAAAAAGTTTAAATTAGTCCGGGGGGGGGGGGGGGGAGATGTACAAAAAAGTTAAAATTAGAAAAACTGCTAAATATTAGCTGAAATATCAGAAAAAACTAAAACTTGCAGAAATAAGCTGAAAGCACAACAAGCTGAAATTAGCAGAAAGAAGGTGAAGCAGAAAAAACTTAAAAGGAGCAGTAAAAGGCTGTAAACACATCTACAGAGTTAAGGATGGAAAATGAGCTCAATTCATTTTCTATAAGGAAAATGACAGAAAAGGCTAAATATTTCAAAAAGCTAAAATTGCACCAATACCAAAAGTCATCGCAGGATTGTCCTGAACGAGCTGAACGTTTTGATTGATGATTTGTTGAAATAGTTTGAAAACTGCAGGACGAGAAAGAAGCTGAAGAACATACAGAAGAAGGATGGATCGTGTTTGTGTGAATGCTTCATTTTTCACACGGGTATCACATTGTTGTAGTTCTAATCAAAAGTTCTGGAGGGGTTGAGCGCTTCATCCGAGCTTCTTTAAAAGGTCCACAGCTTCTTTATGGACCTGCAGAGGAACAAACGTTAACGTTCTTCCACACACAGAAGAGACGGGCAGTCACATATCCTGACGGTCGATTCATACCTCTTTGTCCTCCAGCGTGTGAGCGGGATAATCTTTAGCTTTGGTCAGCCAGAGCTGGGCCTTCTGTTTGTCGTTCATAGCCAGGTACGTCTTCCCAAGCATGAGCAGGTTCTTACTGTAGAAGTTGGGATCGACTGGGGGAGGGGGGTGACAAGTCTCAGTTTAGTGCCTTGATTTACCTCAGAATCAGAAAACCTGACAGTCTACTGTCACAGGTACGTTCTGTTCTACCTTGTTCGGCTTTCAGGAAGAACTCCAGGGCCTGAAAACAAAGATAAACTAGAATTAATCCATTTCTCTGAAACGAGCGATTCATTGATGTCAGGATGGAGACGTAGGATTCCGCACCTCTTCGTACGTGGACGTAGGTGGAGAAGCGAAGAGCATGGCGGCCACTTTGCGCAGGTACCAAGACAGCTCTGCGAAGGCGAAGCACCTGCAGGAGGAGAAATGAAGCTGGACGTGACGCTGCACGACGCTCCATCTTGTGACTGATCTGCTGCCGTAGCTGCTGAACCACCTCGTCCTGAAGGTTGTTGGCAGCTGAAGCCATTTTAACCACAGGAAACGTCCTGAACATCTAACCAGTCTAATGACTGATGCAAACACCAGTTGTCTCCCAGTTTGTTTGTGTTTACTTCCTCTGCAGCGTCTTCAAAGAGAACTACAGCTAAATACATTCCGGCTCCTGTCGAAGGGCTAGGAGCAGAAAAGGGACTCACCAGTAGCCCAGAATGTGGAAGGAGGTGGCGTCTCTGGAGTTGAGCTCGAGGGCTCGCTGCAGAACCAAGCAGCAGATCTTCCATCAGAACACGGTTAAAGGCGACGGACCTGAGCACGAGCCGGAGCGTCTCTCACCTCTAGATGCTGACGAATGATGTACGAGTTTCCAATTTTCACCTTGACCCCTTTGTATTCTCCAACGTCGCTGAGGCACACCGCGTACCACTGACGGGAGCAGACAGAACGGATGTTACCGTGATGCGTTCATGACGTCAGAGTCGTCGTGAAACCGTCTTACTTTGTGCGCTGCAAAACACGTGTCGTCTCGCTGCAGAGCCTTCTCTGCGTACTCGAAGGCCTCGAAGACCAGCTGCTTCTTCCGCTCGGCGTTTGTGTCGGGCAGCAGGGACAGGTCTCGACACGCCCGGGCCAGCCTCCACAGAACCTCTGCGTCGTCGCTGCATGAAGACACACAACCCACGAGAACTGCCAGGTAAGAACCTGGAGCGTTCAGTCAGGTCCTCTGGACGGTTTCATTGGCTTGTTGAGATGTTTCGTCCTTCATCCAAAGGACTTCATCAGATGAGTCGACAGGGGAGAGGGCGGACTCAAGAAACCATCAAACTGGTTGGTCCACTATGTGGGTGTGCTGTTGGTGGGACTGAGTTTGTTGTCGCTCCTGAAACTGAAGAAGTCCTTTGGATGAAGGACAAAACAACTCAACAAAAAAGAAACCGTCCAGATGACCTGACTGAACTTTGTTGGATTTATTACCTGGATTCCAACAATTTTCATTCAGGTCATCTGGACGGTTTCTCTTTTTGTGCCGAGACACGTTTCGCCCTCCATCCAGAAGGCTTCTTCAGTCGGAGAAAACACCAAACAAAACTGATTCTCTCCCAACATCTTACTCCAAAGTGGAAAAAACCAGTTATGTTGGTGCTAAGAAGGGCTCTGGGGCACGCCCTCTCCTCCGGTGCCCGCCCTCTACCTTGTCAGTCATGTCAAACTGGTTCAAAACATCAAAGTCCATGCTCAGTTACCTGGATTAGTGAGCATGAACTTTGGTGTTTAAAACGTGGAGGATGTAGAGCGGTGCAGTCTCCCTCACCTGTCCTTGTGCTGCAGCAGCAGCTGGTACAGCTTCTCTGTTTCTGCACAGCTGTACAGGTAGTCCGCCTGCTCCAGAGCCCCCTCTGCCCAAACATCACACCAAACAAGCTCCAGCACCCACGTGTTGACTTTAAAGCAGTTTACAGGGACATGCGCGTGTAGAGTGCGTGTGTGTACCTTTGTCCAGAGCGTGGACCACAGGTGACCCCTGCACCCCGCGAACAGCTCCATAACTCAGGTAGGACAGCGCAGGGAGGCCCAGGAGGACAGCAGCTCGTCCAACCTGCGCACAACAGGAAGTGACAAAACACCTGTGAGCAGCAGGTGTGAAGAGGAAGACATCTGGTTTGCTGCTGGTGTCATGAAAACTGGGTTAAACTGGTCCAATCACTTTTATAATATGACACATCTGCGCTGACCTTTAACCCGTTTTGTGCAGATAGGAGCCTCAAACACAAAAAAATGCGTGAAAAGTATTAAAAATAAGTTATTTACTGTCAGAGAAGCGGCGGTCTGTCGGTAGGGTGTCCAGTAGACCCGGTTACTTCCTTTCTTAGCGCCAGGAGCAAAGTCCAGTAACGTCCTGCCGCCACAGCGAGTTAAAACTCTTGCTGCCATCATCCTTCTCTCGGTCCAAACTGTCACTGAGCAGAACCACTGCATGACGTCAGGTTAAAGAGCGGCCCCTGACGAGCAGGCTGCGTTCAAGAGCGACACGGTTTATAACAACTAACAGCGGAAGTTGTTTTTCTTTTTTTCATTCAACCTTTGTTTAAAATACAGACAACAATAATTCAACAACAAAATTAAAATCAAATAAAAGACGTTATGAACACTCTCGAATCAAGATACCATATAAAACAAGATAAAATACTAAATATTTATGTACCAACAAAAGTATCTTGTTTGTCATCTACACATATGCTTTAATGCTAAAATAAAATAAGTTATATATTTATTTGTAATTTTTATAACAAAATTAAAGCATAATCCCACGAGAGTTTGGAAAGGTTGAGGTTTAGAAGTTAAATAACGCGTTCGTGGTTCTTGAACGCACCCTTGATATTAGCGGACATTTGCCTTGTTTTTGCTTCCGGCGCGAAACAAACAATTGTCTTTAGAGTTCCGCGTAAATTTATTTTTGTAAAAATAAATTAATACTGAGCCACCACCCCCTATCTTGAATTACGTTTTCTAGTATTTCACAACAAAACATTTGTTCGGTTTAATCTGCCCTTGCCTTGTAAAGTCCGACACAGGATGTAATCTAGTTTAAAGATGGGAGACCGTGCTGAGGGGGGGGGGGGGGGGGGCTCTGTCATCCAGCTGCTGTTGTCACGTAAACAGTCCTGTTCACGCACGAGCCAGGAACAAACAACTAACCAGGTAAACCAACAAGTTAATAAAAAAAATTAGTGTGCACTTTATTAATTAGGAGCAGAAATTACGTGTAAAAACACAGAAGTTTGATTTCCGAGCACCTGTCAAATTTAATTTAACTTGTGGGTGCAAACAAACAACAATATCAATAATTAACAACATGTTTGGAATTACAGTTAAAAATAAATGTATTTCACAAATGTTATTGTTAATAATTGGTTTATGTGTACTGTTTTATGTATTTTTTAACTTTTATTTTTTGTTTTGTGCTTAGCAACTAAATATTTATTATTTCTCCCATTTGTCGATCATTAATAATAATTTTATAGTTGAAGGTGGCAGTGTATTCATACATATTAACAAGTTTCTTCAGTAAACACTAATTAGTAAAAGTTTGTGAAGTTTGTGTGTGACATCATTAAATCAGACATTTTGTTGTTAAAAAAAAAAGACCAGTCACATAAAGTCCAAATGTTTTGCTGTTTAAATGTTGAAAGATGATTTTATTTGTGAGCGACAGCTCCACAGAGGCTGCTCTCATTCTGCACAGACTGTTCATGTTTTGTTGCAGTTGTTCATCTAAAGGACTTTGATGTGGGCTTTAGGGCTGTGGTTAATCACAGCCGGGGACAGAAGCTGTACTGATCGTATTTGGTTCAATATATTATATATCTAGTTAAATGTACGTTATGAGTTGTGTTTTATTTGAATACCACAGACTGGAATGGCCTCAGCTCCCCTGCCCCCCCATCTGGTCACCAAGGTGGAGCTGACCATCTTGTGCCAAAACTTGCTGGACAAGGACATCCTGTCCAAGTCGGACCCGATGTGTGTCTTATACATCAACACCTCCAACTCCCACTGGTATGAGGTCTGTGGAGGATTTTCTTCAGCAAAAATGTTTCTTGTCAGTTATATTTATTTATCTATCTGTTTTATTTCTGATTTAAATTAAAAACAAAGTTTTTTTTTTTTTTTTTTTGGCCTTTTAGTTTGGTCGCACAGAGATGATCCTGAATTGCCTGAATCCAAAGTTCGCCAAGAAGTTTGTTCTCGACTACTACTTTGAGAAGGTGCAGAGGCTGAAGTTCAGCGTGTACGACATCGACAGCGACAGCTATGACCTGGACAAGCACGACTTTCTGGGGGAGTTTGAATGCACTCTGGGTCAAGTGAGCTTCACTTTGCACATTTATACGGCGGGAAAAACATTAATCAACAATTTATCCCTTAGTTGCAACTTTATTTGTGCCCAGATCGTGTCCAACAAGCAGATGACTCGAGCGCTGCTGCTGAGGGACAGCAGGCCTGCGGGACGTGGGACCATCACTGTGAGGGCTCTTTTAAGACTGGCTGGATTAGACGGGCAGATGCTGCTGATAAAACACTCACTTCTGTGGCGTGCACAAAGCATAAGATGCTTCTTTGTGCTCTGTTTATGTTGTACATTTCTTTTGAACAGATCTGCGCTGAAGAAATAACTGACACACGCGTGGTGAACCTTGAAGTGTCAGCCCGCAGCCTGGACAAAAAGGTACAGACAGTCGCTGTGGAGTTCACTTTCCCTTCAGCTGCCTTTGGTTTGGATGATAAATCACAAAGCAGGTACGTTTGTTCAGTTTTTGTGGTGGTCTGATCCTTTCCTGGAGTTCTACAAGCAAACAGGGACGGGATGGCAGCTGGCCCACAGAACCGAGGTGTGCCTATTCATTAACAGCTCGTTTGTCTTCAGGTGGTGATTGATGACTTTTGGTTGATTATTTCTGGTCGTGCAGGTCGTGCGCAACAACCTGAACCCAGTCTGGAGACCCTTCCGCATCTCACTGCGATCTGTGTGTGAGGGTGATGTGGAAAAACCAATAAAGGTCTTTAAGAAATCCCATTTTATTCTGTTACTACGGTACATCTGACTGAAATGCTGGTTGTTGTTAGGTTATGAACAGTTGATATCTTACCTGTTGTAGATAGCTCTTTGAACCAAGGATTGCTGCTGACATAAACCAACTTCAGTCATGTCATAAATGTTGTTGTATAAATCTTTACACATCTGATCATTTTGCATTGCATGGTCAAGTGTCCCAGGCTGAACAGGAAGTGCTACAACTAGCTTCTGCTAACACTTGCGAATAACTGCAGAATTAAACGGAACTGTTTTAAGCTGGCAGTAGATCCACTTTGTTTATGGCCCTGCTCAGACGAGCTGTGAGCTCATCAGTGCAGTCAAAAATGACCTCTTTTTCTTCAAACCGAAGTTATTTATAAACATTCTCTACAACAATATATTAATGATCATAAACGAGACCAAATATTAATGTTTGGCAAGTGTTTGTGTCGTGACCGGTGTGGCTGCATCTACGTGTAAGAAAGGTACAACATTGGATTTCTGCTTCAAAATCCAAGATGGCCGCCACTACATACATATGTAAGTCAACTATCATTTGAGGAAACTACTGTCTCATTCACAAGACCGTTTCACAAAATGGCCGCACATACCAATCCGTCTTTGAGCTTCCTCTAGCCTTTCATAAGTCACTGATGAAGCTGGCCATGTCCCGCTCAGCTGTATCAGACAAACAGTGTGCAGCTCATACCCCCCCCCCCTCAAACACTTCCCCAACACCCCCCCCCCCCCCCCGCGCCCTCCTC